GCTAGACTGCTACAAGTCGGATTCCCTTTGGACACCAGTAAAAGAAAGAATAGAAGAAAGAAAGAATCGAATCGCAGGGACCGACGTGACGTCACAACTAATCCTGCCTGCCCCTCCCTCACAACTGTCTACGACTTTACCTACACCACCGCTCCCTCGCTACCCTTTTGTCCGCGCGGACACCTCGCTATCCCAATACTCATTCGGGCGCGCATGCAACATACCGTATACAACGCAATGAATGACTTTTCGTCCATGTGGGAGGTTATGTAAAATCATTTTTCTTAAGAAGTCTAGTTAGTCTATACATTATCAAAATACATCTTAGGTAATATAATTTACTTGATCTATAGTTATAAAATGTACTACTGATTTTAGATTTTGAGGTTTTTTTACAAACTAGACAATCAAAGACTAAATATATGGAATATGAATGACGTTAATAATAACATGTAATTACATCAATATGAGATCTTAACATATTTTTGTACTTTTATTGACTCTCCAGCTACATTATCATTGTTGATAAAACAAAATTCAAAAGTATTTTAGAGTGCATACCAGTTATCCAAGGGCGCTAGAACTGAAATTATGACCTATAAGATCCAAAAATTGCTTAATTTATCCAACATAAGATAGTCAATAATAAATTGTAAAGTTTTACKTATCTGAAATATACACTGAGATGTCCTCTTAGACCGACTGAAAAGCACTTGATTTTACGAAATTCATCCAAATGATCGTTAGTTCCTGTCTCTTTTGGTGTTYGGCCAGGGCAAAGTGATTTTAATCCGGTTAATGAATAACGTTCCTGGCGAGACAGCAGTRGCTGRTACAACAAGGACAGYGGTAATAAATTCAGCAACARCCGCTTGAGTATAACGATCATTTGGATGAATTTCGTAAAATCAAGTGCTTTTTAGTCGGTCTAAGAGGACATTTCAGTGTATATTTCAGATAAGTAAAACTTTACAATTTATTATCGACTATCTTATATTGGATAAATTAAGCAATTTTTGGATCTTATAGCTGAAGGTCATAATTTCAGTTCTAGCGCCCTTGAGTTATCAAGGGTATTTATGAAAAATGTATACAATCGTCAAAGTGAACGTATATTTCAACAGGGTCTGAATGGGGTTAATCGATTAGCGACAAATGAACAAAATAACAACTGACTAGCGACAAATTTGAACACAATTTACTGACTACCGACAACAACATATTTACTGACTGGCGAAATTTTCCTTGAAATTAATATTTTTAGGCAATATTCAAAGAAATTAGCTTYTTGAATGCAAGTTATTTTGTATTTTTCAATCAACTACATTGGAAATTTTACGTGGAAAAATATATTTTGGTTCGAATTGGCTTCTTGAAGTTTYAATGTGACACTATAAAGCTTTGAGTGGCATCCAATTGACAATAAAGACTCAAGGATTCAACTGTTGGCATTTTAGAAAGCATTCTGTTGATATAACGCATGTACATCATTTATCAATGATAGCTCCTCTACGCATGTAAATTGATAAAACTTTCTTGTCCAGCAGAAACGAAGGTATTTACGATAAGCTTTGGCCACCGGGATTAATWGGCGTTTTATACTTTTATACTTTAATTTATGCACGTGCTACAGCTCAGCAAATTTTTAAATATTTTTAAAAGCCCTTAAAAATTTAAATTCAAGACTTTTTTCGATATACCGAACCAGGACGAATAAGTTYCGAACTCCTCCACCCCCTCCCCTMCCTCTTCGGTGAAAAATTACATCAGCACATATCGACCCTAGCGAGCACTCCTTTGCAGTCTGCCCTTAGGTACCTAACCACACCTAGCTATGAGTCGTTGCAATGCAGCTATGCAATGCAATTGTTTTCCCATTTGGCACAGGAAGCCAAAACCAGGCATTTTGACACAAAGAGTAGCACTTTTGTAACTTTTCTATTATCTTAATTTATCATATTGTCATCATTTGTCCAAACATTTTGATTAGATTAACAAGACAGCTCACACTGGCTTAACACTAGGACAAATAAACTTCAGTAGTTTATACAATTTCTTATAGATGTACTCGGTGTCCTTGGTCTTTATTTACTTTAAATACGTAACATTCCTATGTTTTTTTCACGCARTGCTCCTTCGAAGTTTGGTACCTTAACAACCTTATGCAATKCAAATTTGTAGTCAGAAACACTTGTTCTACAACTATTTTTCTCTCTCTTTCTCTCTCTTTTCTTCTTGGTTTTTGTTGTCAACGAGCAACGRTTTTCTGCAACTAATAAAAGCARCACCCTATCCCCCACTGCAAGGTTGTACACACGTTCCACTCCTCATCCTTGCAGATTTTGTAGARTCAATTTATCGACAAACAGCAATGCAAAACAGGCCAGGAAGGTTGCTGTAACACAATCACAGACGGTGATTCACGCAATTTTGCAAAGGATCGTCGGTCCAGTGCACGTTATACAGCTTTAGCGGTTGATACATTTTCATTAAAAACGTTCTCTAACGTGCTCTGATAATTTTCAGAAGTGCAACAAATAGAAATACGTGTGGAAATAGACGATTTCAACAACACCAGTGGATAAAGCAGTTCGATATAAAAGCGAATGGTCTTATTGAAAACGAATTTAGTGGTTAACCTATGAGGTTAACCATAGAGTAATAGTATTTACTTATGAGAAAATCGATTTATTGCTCAGAGTTTTGCTGAGCCGGCCACACCGGGCGCTCTCTCACGTTTTTGAATAGGTTGTAAACCCATTTTTGACTGGAATGAACCTACTATAAACGTTTGAAAAACGACTAGAAAYACTAAACAAACAAAACAGTCTAGAATCGATATACTTGGCCTCCAATGGGCTGACTGTTATTGTTTGACTAACCCGTTATACTGGGTTGCAATTTTTGCGGTGTKTAACGTTTGTGCGACCTCAGAATAAGTGATTTACACATCCAATGAGAATTATGTTACCAGCAACGTGTTTTATCATGACTGCAACAAACATTTAAATCAAATCTCTCAAATAACTACAATTATATTATCTAAAAATATTCAAAGAACCTATTTATTATTTTTCTCCGTAAGAGGGATCGTTTCCGCTGGATTGCCGTCGTCCTTTTCACGTTTAGAAATATTCTCTTTGCGCTTATTTTTCTTACGTATATAGCACGTGACGGCAATGACGACAATAATAAGTGCACCAATGATSACAAGAATCACAATGAGAACAACATTGGGTCCGTRATCTTTCTGGTCCTTTACGGCCTCTGTGCAAACAGAAACAAAAAATTATCAAATATGTACCAAACACAAATTTCTACGAATAACAATGCATCATGAAATCTAATAATACGCTTGACTTTAATGTCTGATCACCACAGTACTCTATTCGGTGTGAAAACGAGCAATCGATGTCGGCCGCGCATTTTTTTAAAAAACAAATGCAACCGTTAATCTATAGTCCCCACCCAAACCCTCTTTCAGGCCATCTACACCCAATTATGTCTATCTATTTTCTAAAAAATTCAGTGTACATTTTTCAGGCTTACTCCAATATTACGCTTAGACTTTGACTTAAAGTCAAGTATTTCATATTTTTGATTTGCGCAACATTGCTCTATTAGTCCAAATGAGCGCAGAAGGTTGTTTCATTAGAGGCAACAGGACATATTTAGTACAGTCCTGATGGTGGGGATCAAGCTATATTGGTGGGGAATGCAATTAGAAAGAGTGGTTTTCACTTCATTTCTCTATCACTGGTTATGCACTATTTGRCTGCTTCTCTGAGGAACTGAAATTACCTGTATCTTTGTCCTTTATCCTTAGRGAATCTGCGTCTACTTTTAGACCATATAAGGTTCCGTTCTTGATAGCTGAATGTAATTCTTTCAGTGGATCAGAGACTTCGTTTTTGAAAGCTAATTCAAAATCAGCGATGACACTTCCTTTCCTATGAAAATAAAGCAAGAATTTGCTGATGAACGAAACGTGTAGAAAGTTTACATATTAAAATCCTTTATTTTCGTTCACTTCTTATCTGTTTACGTACATGAGCGAACAAAACAACAGAGTTGAAAAACATGTTTCGTCTTTAATGACCTTCTCAATTTCAACTGACAGTTAACAGTTTACTCGCGCAATACGTTGAACAGACGCGCGCGCTAGGCGCACGTGCTCGTAGAACACCAACACCAACATAACATTACACACATTAAATCTACGCTATATTAGCCCTAGGCATATTTACAAAGTTCCAATCGTTCTTATTATTTATTATCTTGGTTTGATCATGGCTGCTGATCTTAACAGACTCCGCGATCTGCCTCAACATGCTGTCTCCTTGATAAGTACCGGTTACGTTCATAGTAGTGAAGGAACAAAGACTAGTTTTACCATAACTTGAAGAATTCTCGCGCGCTGATTGGTCGAGGGCCGTTGTCAATCCTAGGACAGACGGATGAAATGACGAATCGCTCGCGCACGGAGCCGGCGCGCGCTAGAAACGGTTTTGTTTTTAAAGTTTTACTTTGTTTTCAGCTTTCCTTAAAATAAAGTTTTTTGGCGTGACTGTGTGTTAAAGACTTCACATATTGGGTTTAATCCTGTTCAGCATTATGAAGTTTTCAGCTTTGTTTTCAGCTTACACTCGTGGTTCCACTTGAGTTTTGAGCATTTTGACGTCAATTTCATTGTCAATAAGAGTACAGACAATGGAAAACCGCCTGCGAATTCTGTACTATGAACGTAACCGGTACTTCTCAAGGAGACAGCATGTTGAGGCAGATCGCGGAGTCTGTTAAGATCAGCAGTCAAGATCAAACCAAGATGATAAATAATAAGAACGAGTGGAACTTTGTAAATATGCCTAGGGCTAATATAGCGTAGATTTAATGTGTGTAATGTTATGTTTGTGTTGGTGTTCTACGAGCACGTGCGCCTAGCGCGCGCGTCTGTTCAACGTATTGTGCGAGTAAACTGTTAACTGTCAGTTGAAACATGTTTTTCAACTCAGTTGTTTTGTTCGCTACGTAAACAGATAAGAAGTGAACGAAAAGTTCATATAACAGAAAATGAAGCTTAGTAAATCTGTTCTTGTCTCGCTAAAAGATTTATCTGATGTTAAAATCATTTAATTTAGCTTTAATTTGTACGTTTCTCATACCATGGGGCATCTGACCAGAAATCACATGATTTCATTAAACAAATACTGAAAATTTTATCATTTCATTATTATGGTTCCAATCGTCGAATTTGCGACTTTGTGAGTCCAGTTCTAAAAAGTGATAAAATCTCATTAACTTTCTGACCACTGACACGTACAGTGTAGCTGAATTTTAAAGTAAAGCCTTTAATTTGGCATTTAGCTACACGTTATGTTTTATTTAGGCTAAATAAGTAAATTTATAAACAGTTTGCTCGATTTGCAACTTTCTTTGCCAAGAAAAAGCAACAATTTGATTGTTAAAATTTGATTATTTTACCCATAATAAATGATAAATGATGACCCGTAATGATAATAATAATGATAATGATAATGATAATGATGATGATGATGATGATGATGATGATGATGAAGATGATGATGATGATGATGATGATGATGATGATGATGATAATGATATTGAATCAACATACCTAAAGGCGATTACGATTACTTTGTAGAAGTTTTTATTACCAGCTTCATCGAAAGCCTGGGC